GTATTAGCAGTTGATTGTGGTATGCTTTTATGACTTTTTTTTGTGGTATGCTTTTAATGTCGTCTTTTTTTTTTAAAAAATAATAGTTATGACCTGTTCATAGGTATGGAAGTGTGTTTCACAGTCTCTACTCTGATTGTCAGATGCTGTCAGGTTGATTCCCAACAGAACGGAATAGAACCTTGCCTTATCCTGCACCAACCTCATGATCATCAGTGTGCTTTATTATGCTCATTGTTGTCCTCACTGTGTCAGTGCATCTCATCAGGAGCCTTTCTCTTCCTTTGCTGAGCTTCCCACTTTTGCCAAGCAAAAAGGATTTCCCTGGCAGCATTCGTCTCACAATCTTTGCCTCTAAGAAGCATACTGGATGCACTTCCCTTTGGTAATCCTTGGTGTGCTCAGAACCCTTTCCCAACTTTATATTTCAAAGACGCTATTCCTCTTTGGCTTCCCTAATCATTGTCTATGCATTTTGAAGTAGTTGAAAATGCCATGGCTTGTGTTAGGCATACTTTAATCTTTAAATTGCATCCTTACTCTTTAATGCTTTAATGAGGTTCTTGTTACTGTTTATCCAATGCAATATATCTTTTCTTTTCCTTGGTGCTTATTGTGGATCCAAGTAAGATTAAATCATTGGTATCTTTAAACTTTTTCTCCATTGTGGATCCAAGTAAAATTAAATCATTGGTATCTTTAAACTTTTTCTCCATCTATCATGAGGTTGTGTTTTGGGCTTTTAAGAAAGAACAAGTTTGTCTTGGAGAAGGTGTAACCACGGTGCTCCTTAGATGCAAAGATGGTGAAACTTCATCTCATTTACTTTGGGCATGTTATCAGAAGGGGTCGTCAGTCCTTGGGAAAAGACACCATGCTGGGAAAGGATGGAAAATCAAGACCTCCAACAAGGTGGATTGACGCAGTGACTGTAGCAGTGAGAATGAGCATGGTCCTTCCCATTTTTCTCCATGTTATCCATAATTTATTATTATTCATGCCGTCAAAAGTCTTTTGCATAGTAAATAAAAGTGAATATTTTTCTGGTGTCCCCATGACACAATAAGCTGATAGATGAGTGATACTAATTATTCTTCATGGTATGCAAATCGCTCCTAGATAGTAGAACTCTCATCACACTGGCTTGTGTTCTTTGACATGGCTTTATTAGGTTTTAAAATTTCTTGCTCACCTTGAATATTCTCAGCTGGGTTCAGGTATTTCTTTATTTAAAAAAAAAACAACATAACACACACACACAAAACACAAAAACCCACACAAAAAACCCAAACACAGTATTCTAACTACCTTACTAGTCATAACTTTGAGTACATAGTATGACATTTGCTATTGGATTTGATTCCATTTAGGCCTTTTCAAAAGTCAAAGCTAATTTTGTTTTTCCTAATATATCTAGAAGTAACGCCATAGCAGTGCAGACTGTCAAAATACTACATAACGGTGTTTTGTATAAGTAACACATATTATTCACATCATTCTCCTTTTTCCCAGCCTTTTGCTATTAGAAGTAATGGAATAATTTTATGTACCTATCATTCTATACATCAGTTTCAGAATGTTGTATTGTTTTAGTTGGATTAGTAGAGACCTATGAAAGGAGTTCTGGTTGCTTAGAGGTAAAGAGTTGTGGGGCTGACACAAAGATGCGTGATTTGCATCCACCAGCTACTTCACGGGGAAGATGGACAATCCCTTCCCATTGTGATTGGATCACTGGAGGGTCACTCTGATTCAGTGTATCTAACAACACACAGTGGGTAATTTTTATGTTCTAGTTGAAGTGAGAGTACCAGAGGAATGTCTATCTCTGTTTCATTGACTATGCAAAGACATTTGACTGTGTGGACCACAACAAACTATGCCTTACTCTGAGGAGAATGGGAATCCCAGAATACTTGATTGTGCTTATGCGAAACCTATACTTGGACCAGAAGGCAGTCATCAGAACAGAGCATGGTTCAAAACTGGGAAGGGTGTACGTCAAGATGTTTCCTATCTCCATACCTTTTCAATCTATATGTGGAACAGATTATCCAGGAGGCTGGGCTCAATGAGGAAAATTGTGTCATCGGGATTGGAGGTAGACTCATCAACAGTCTGCATTATGCAGTGATACAACCTTGCTTGCTGAAACTGAGGAAGACCTGAAGTGCTTACTGCAGAAGGTCAAGGACTGCAGCCTTTAATATGGATTGAAGCTCAACATCAAGAAAACAAAGATTCTTACCCCTGGGCCAATTGGCAGCATTATGATGGGTGATGAAGAGATTGATTGTTGACAGCTTTGGTTTGCTTGGCTCTATAATCAACACTCTTGGTACCAGCAGCCAGGAAATTAAAAGACAAATTGCTTTGGAAAAGTCTGCTGTCAGAGACCTCTCCAAAGTACTGAAAAGCAACGATGTCTAAGGTGCATCTCATACAGGCCATGGTCTTTGCAGTTACTTCCTGTGCATCAGAGAGCTAGACAGTGAGTAGGGATGATAGGAGGAGAGCTGATGCCTTTGATCTTTGGTGCTAGAGAAGAGTATTGAGTATACTGCTAGGAGAACAAACAAGTGTATCCTGGAGAGGATGAAGCCAGGCTGCTACTTGGAGGCAAGGATTCTGAAGCTCCATCTGACGTACTCTGAACATGTTGCAAGGGGGATCAGTCCTTGGAGAGAGAAGTCATGCTTGGGAGGGTGGAGGGACACGCAGGAGAGGAAGCCCATTGATGAAATGGATTCTGAGGTAATGGAGATAGGTGTGTCGGAGACAATAAGATTGGCAAGGGATAGAGCCGGGTTTAGGGCTGTTGTCCATAGGGTCGCTATGAGTCGCAGGCGACTCGACTGCACATATCAACAACAGTTGACGTGACCTCTCTTTTATCATTAGAATAAATTGCCATTTCTTTAGGTTAAAGGTTTGTACTTTGTGCAAACCCAGAGCCATGTTGGAAGAAAAGCCTGGTGTCTGCTTCCGAAATTTCACAGCATTGAAAGTCCTTTGAAACTGCTTTAATCTCTACGCAGGTCTCTGAGTCACAATTTTGTTTTTATTTTTCTAACCTTTTTTTATTATTATTAAATTTTATTAGTTTTAATGAACATTTACAGAGATTTTGGGTTCTCATTCATTCATTGTTGCACTGTTTTCTCTACCCTCCTCCCCAGTTCGTTCTTCTCCCCCCCCCCCATGTCTGTTTTAATTGTCCAGTTGCCACAGTGCTTGTCAAAGCCAGTTCTGATTAATCTCCTTTGTCAGTGTGCCCTTTGCCATTCCCTATCACTCCTCCCTGAAAGAGACTTCACCCTGATTCATAAGGAAAAGGGGATGTTGTATTCTCTTAGCTACTTCCTGCTGAAAAGGGACGTTGTGGGTTCCAGGGTGAAGATCTTCTCTCACTACTCTAAAGGGCCCCTTGAGTCACAATTTGAGTTGAAGGCAACTCACCACAACACATTCCTTTTGAAAGTGTGCTTCTTTGAAAAACACCTCTGCTTTGCAGGGTACTGTGTCCTCTGTAAACAGGATGTCTTCGTGGGAGTGCCATTTCTAGTCCCGTGTACTTTGCGAGGCCATGTTTTTAATCACTTTTTGCCTGTACTGTAGTTAACCTGTTCTCAGTAGTGTGTCTCTGCTATTCTGAAGTGAAGCCTAGCCAGTGTTCATTCTTCCATCCTTTTCAGTGTTGCTTCTGCTGAGCTCTCCTAGTGTGAACTCAGGTGCTAATTCTGCTAGTATTACCCATTTATTTCCCACTGCATTTCAGAGTTTGCTTTTATGTTACTTATTTTTGTTCATGAGTGCTTTTGTTTTATTTTCTCTCCTCTTTGCTCTGTTTAAATTTTAGGAGATAGAAGAATTAATTCATGCAGTCATACTTTTTACAATAAATTCAGAAACTTCTTTGACTTTTGAGCTTTGTAAATAAATGAATTCTGTTTATGAATTTTAATGTAGCACACAATACTTCTGGTAAGAGAATTGGTCATAAGCTCACTTTATATGCTAATTTCTTAAAAGGCATGAAGGAACAGTTCATTAGGAACATGAGCACTATTGTTATGTTGAATTGGAACCAGCTTATAGCTGACCCTCCGGCGGGGGGGGGGGGGGGG